CAAAAGATTTGAAGGGAAATTTTTAAAGTATTATGTAACAGATAGTCCTGGACAGAAGTAGCATGGCCTAAAGTCAACAGTAATTATAATCAGGTCTTTCTGATCTTTCTCCCTGTCACCTGACCCCCCCACCACCTTTCTTAAGTAGCCATAAAGGGAAGTATTTAATGGTGTCTCAGAAAAGAGAATGATACAGAAGGGCAGGTAGATGGTGTGTTCGAGGTTTATTCCCATAGTAGTAAATTGACTGAATTGCCAATGCCAAAGGATAAGAAAAACTTCATACTACACATAATAGAATGGCATTATGGGCAAGAAAACAAAATTCACCTTAGGGAGGGAGAAAGAGATTTAATACATCTGGAGGAAAATAATTAGAAGCCCAGATAATCAATTGCAGAGCGCTGCCAGGAAGCATAATGTTGAAAGAGGCCAGGGGTGATTACAAATGAGTCTCAATGTTACGAGGCAACAAGAAAGGCCAGAGGAACTTGAAGCGAGCAGCACCGGGGGTGCCGCGTGTGGTGACGCATGAGGTCCTGGTCTCTCTTGGAACAAGTGCAATGGGTGAGGGCACATCTGGAATCCTGAGTACATATTTTACACTCCATTAGCACAAAGACACCAAAAACCTGGAGGGAGTTCTGAAGCCAGTAACAAGGACTATTAAGAGACTCAAAGGAAGAGTTTATAAGGGGAGGATTAAGGGAGAGGCGATGGCCATGGCAATGGGTAGAAAGCAGCGCTAACCAACCAAACAAGGACAACAATGAGGGAGAGGCAGGAAAAACCTGTCATGGCTGCCCTCAGAGGGAAAAAACAGAGAACAAAACTGAATGTGGCAGAGAAAGAAAAAAATCTAAAAACTAATTAAGCAGGAAAATGTAAGCCAAACGGGAATTGGTTGCCACAAAATAAGTCTGATTGGGGAGGAAAAAGATGTAACCTCTCGAAAAATTTTTTCAGACTCCCAAGTACAGAACTCAGACAAGATGTCCTCTTACTGCAGAATGGTAAAGTACTTAAAATCAGGACACAGGGTTGAGAGGATGATGGTAATGGTGCTGCTAATAATAATACAGGCAGCAGCGGTATTTAATAAGCTCTTGTTAGGTGCCAGGCACTGTTTGAAGTGCTTTACATATGTTTTAATTCATTGGATTCTCACGACAACCCTACCACTGTTCTTATTATCATCCTCATGGTTTTACAGATGGGAGAACTGGAGGTGAAGAGAGGCCAAGTGACTTGCCTGTGGACGGATAGCTAGCAAATAGCGCGGCCAGGTTTTAAACCCAGGCAGGCCGGCTTCCGGGTCTATATTCCAAACCACTGTACTCTTCTGCTTCTTTTAAGACCAAAGGAGAGAAAAGTGGGGCGGGGGGAGCCCTGGGGATGAGGAGCAGGCCAGAAGAAAGAGCAAAAGGGCAGGGCCTGAGGTTATTAAGTGAAAAGTTCCTGGAAATAGTCCCCTTCTGAAGTCATGTTGGCGGGGTGTGGCCCTGGTCTGCCGTCTCTGACTCAAAGTCATTATTGCCTTTTGTCAGAAAGGAAAATCATCTTGTGGTTCTCTGTGAAAAGGGGGTTGGTCTCTGAAGACGAGAACCCCTCATTAGAATTCCTACTGCACGTAGTCTGCTCAGAGGGAAATCCTGAGTCCTAGCTGACCTGAGATCCTCTGACACTTTGTCCCACACACATCAGTCTGCTCTGGGGCCTGGCAGAGTAATCAAGCAGTGGGCGTTTGGCCAACTGACCATTTGATGGATTTACTCATTTGCAGACTCAACATATAAACGCTCATTCAACAAATAAACAGTGCTATGTTTCTCGAACTTGAGTTAACTCTTCCAAGAAAATAAATCTCGTCAGAAATAGCAACTTCAGCCACTTATAATTCCAGTGAAAACATCAGTCTAGAACTTGTAGAATCCCCAGAATACATGGAGGTCCATGAACCCCAGCGCAGGAAACAAAAACCATGAAGCCCCTAGGCTATGTGCAAGGATGGGGAGCCGGGGGAATATAGAGATGAGGCAAAGGCGAAGTTCACCCTCAAAGCCTTACAGTCTAAGGGAGATTACCTTACATACGAGCAGGACCATAGCACAAGGAAGGAAGGGAAGATGGCATTCGAGCCACAGAGCCACAGAGACAAATTGCTGGGGGACTGGGCAAAGACTGGGTTTGGAAGGGCACCTGGTCTAGCCTTGATACACATCAGGGAGATGTGGGAACTAGCACGGGCAAAAGCTATAAGAGCTGAAAACCAGAGCAAATGGAGAAAACACATTCTCCAGAGAGAGGCACAAGTAACAGAAATGCAGGCTGGGATTGGAAAGAGAGGGATTTTATCCAGATCCAAAGGTGGCCTTGCATGATATGCTATCAAGTGAAACTTGATTCTCTCAAATGAAACTTGAGGGGGCTCCATCCACGATTGTGACAACGAGGTGAGGTCACCAGAGCCGGTCTTCAAGAAGGTGGCACTAAGAGTGGAAAGACCCGGGAGGCTGGTTAGGGGCTCTGGAAGGAGACTGTGAGCATTCATGAGGGGCATCGAGGAATCGGAGAAAGAGGGGCAGGTTCGAGAGCTGTTATCCACGTAGAATCTTCAGGTGGTGGCGCCTGCTTAGCAAGGGGCAGGTGAGCCGGGCAAGGCTCTGGGGTGCTGAGCCTGGTCAACCAGGAAGATGACTATGACACCCGGAGAAGAAAAGGGTATCTGAGGAGAGAAGTGCACTTGGAAGGGAAAAGGATTCATTCCGTTCTGGACTAGTCTATTAAGAGTGAGGAAAACATTCCTCTGGAGGTATCCTACATGTAGCTGTGTATCGGGATGAAAGCGAGCTAGCTAGCCCCTCAAGACACAGAAATGATGTACCGTGGACAGTGCTGAGATTCAGAAATGTGTGCTTTAAGAGCGATACTGATAAAGTGCCTGATTCTGGGATCTGTTTTCATCTTACTGGGCCTGTCCAGGAGCGATCTTTCTTCATGTGTGTAAGTGGAGACACCTGTGAAACCAGCTTAGTGAAGATACGCGCAGTGGCTTTGACATGGAAGGCATCTGATTAGCCATAGTTTCTCCCTAAAACGAAAGATGGCAGCCTTTTGAAAATCAGAAAAATTAAAGCTTGCGTGCATGTGTGTATTACATATGCATAGATATATAGGTAGAAGTGTGTGTGTACGCAACACACACACGTAAACACATACACCTACAAATACATACATAAAAATTTCTTTGCTCCCTTCTACTTAAGGGGAAGGCTATGTATATGGCTACTAGGGTGACCAAACATCTAGGTTACCCAGAATAGTGCTTGTTTATGCCTGCCTTCCTGGTGAAATTACAACTATTAGAAATAGTACCCTCCTTGTCTTGCAGACTGATTGAATCCTGCAGTTCTGAGGGCTGGTTGGCTCTTAAAGAACCCATTCAGAACAGTGCATGGAATACCACATTCTCCACTTTCCCCACAAATGAAAATGTGTGTGTCTTTAAACCAAACCTAAAAAACTGGTAACAGCCTCTTAGAAGTAGGATTTGTCTCAGAATCATGCATGTAAACATGAGAACACCTTCACTATGGATCCCAGTTTGGCTTTTCTGTAATTGCAGAGAGTTATGCCGCTGTGGTATTAGAATAATTTTTGAATGTCATCTTGAAATAGAAGCATGGATTTTAAGTACTAATGCAAAGGTAAAGGAGAAACACTTCTTAAATGTATGCAGTTTGTTTATTTTCTCTGTAAGAATCATAAATGTTGACACATTACCTGTAATTGAAGTGGTTAATGATTTATCAGCAAGGTGATTTGGTCAGCCATTACACACAAACTTTGGTATACTCCAGAATGCTTTATTGCACTTGTGAAGCTCTCTTGTCTAACCTGAATTTACATTCCGTGGTGATAACATGGTGTATGCAGTGTGATTAAAGTAAGTGAACATATCAAAAAAAAAAAGGAAAGAAAATTAATAGTACCCTCTTTCTCAAAAGTGTGCCGACAATACATTTTTGGCTACCCTTCTGAGAGTTACAAGGATTTGACTTCAAGATCTAACCCATTTTGTTCCCGAAACCCCGACCTGCCCTACTCTCTCCTCTTTGCCCATCTCTTCTCATCCTCTTTGGCAGAGGACCAAATCCAAATCCAAAGTTTCCCTCTGAAAGGATTGGTAGGCTCTGTTGCCCAGTGGCCTTCCTTAGGTGGGACATGCCAAAGTTACAAATGTGAAGTCCCTCCAGGGGCCTCGTCGATGAGCAGTAGAGTGTCTGTGTCCCATGTACTTCTCTTAGACTATGATTCTATGAAAGTTAGTCATCTGCGTAGTAATTCTGTGTCACTGGAATTTTTTATTATCAATAATTGACATACACATTCATAAAATACACATAACATGAACATCGACGCCATAAAACGTGTGTGACATAAAAACCCTTACCATGTGCTGAAGAAATGGAGTTTACCATGGTTCCTTGACTTGGAAAATTTGTATTCTGGATATGCAAACATAAAGACAAGCTTTTCTATAGGGTTTTTATAATTTATAACTCTCAAATAGTAGGTTAAAAACTTATTCTCTCACCAAGACTGAACTTTCAGTCCCCCCCAACTATTTGCCCAGAGACAGCATTCCACATTTCCACTGGCTACTTCTCTGACTGTTACATCAACTTAACAAAAGGGTACATTCTGCTTTTATTCTAGCAGGACCGCAAGAAACAGATGCACCCCGAGTACCATGATCATTATGGTGATTTTATTGCGCTATAATCCATGTACATGGGTACTACGCTTATTTATTCAAAAGGAAAATGTCTGTGTGTCAGTTTGCCAAAGGATCAGGGTATTACACTATATTTTGGCGTTACCAAGGTTTACTTTTGTTTTACTGCCCCTTTTTCAAACCCTAATTTCATACTTACGCATTTACGCATTTATTTGTGATTATTTCATATGAGAAAATAATCCTTTTTTTCCCTTTGCAGCCTTTTTTGGAAAATACCTCAATGAATATAATGGCAGCTACATCCCTCCTGGATGGCGAGAATGGCTTGGATTAATCAAGAATTCTCGTTTCTATAATTACACTGTTTGTCGTAATGGCATCAAAGAAAAGCATGGATTTGATTATGCAAAGGTAATTTTCAGGCACTTTTACGCTGCATCAATTTACTTTGTGCATAATGGGGAAAAGCCATTTTCAGTGAGTTAACTTATCCACGAGATTGGCTTTCTATGTTCTCACAATGTTAGAATGAGAAATTTGAAGGTAATTTTAAACTCCAGGCAAGAAAAAGATTTTCAAGGAACACTGACTTTGAATAGTGATTCTTTTTTCCCTCATTAGGATGAAAGGCAATCAGCCTTTGATGAAGTATCATCAAGAAAATCATAGATGCCTCCACTCGGTCTTGTGATTTTTTTTTTTTTAATTTTTCTACTCCCTAGAGGATTTGTCCACATAATGAAATGTTCATCTTGTACCATTTCGCTTTTCACTGGTGTAAAAGTGCATTTCGTCTGTGGCTTCGGGTTTAGAGCAGACAAGCACAATAATCGAAGGTCGGGGAAACCACATTCTTCGCTTTTCCTCCTGTCTGACCAAGCATTGATATGTGACAAGGACACCTGCCCCACAGCAGCGAGAGTCCACAAAAGTCCCTGGGGCCATCAATCCCCAGATTTCCAAATCAGTTCATGGAAACTGAAATCGACACGTCCCTCCGTGTCTCTAACAAATCCATCCCAGATTAGACTTTCTAAAATTCACAAAGATTTTGTGATTGCCAACCAAAAATAAAACAAGTTTCAGATGACAAGAGTGAAGGGGAAAATACCTTCGAATTTAGCCTGCTAATTAGCCTAAAATACCTCTTCCCTTCTAGCCATGCCCAGCTCTTCCTCACTTATCTATAAGAAGCCGACAATCTGCTCTATCGAGCGTAGATCACTACGAAAGAGCCATTGGTAGAAATCAGAGAGAGGGAACTTGATTTAATTTTGGCACAGTGCTGCCTTTATGCTTGGCCCGATTTGAGCTCAAGGAACTTGGTGGGAGATAAGGTGTTGTAGTCTCGCTCTTTCGTCCCCTTCAGAAAACAATGAATGCAAATGAATTCACAAACATTGCTAATAGGATTCCAGATTCATCAAAGTTGAGAGCTGGCGGGGACCTTGGAGGCAGATTTGAGCAATGTCCTACAAAGTGCACTAATTGTCACCGCTATCATTTTTTATCTGTGGGGATGCTTTCATGCTCCTTGTTCAAGCTATTAACCTTTCTTTCCCTGTTGTCCTAAGGAGAGCAAAGTAATCAAGATTCCCTCCAAAGACTAAAATTAGCGTAACTTGCCCATTATCACAGCTGATTAAGTGTCAAAGACAACTGTGTCCGGAAAGAATATATGGCTTTTTTTTTTAGTGAGAAAAGGAATGAAACAGACACTCCCATGGAAGAAGGTGATGGCCTGTGGAGTTGTCCTCACAATGACATGTGACACAGATTTCCTCCCTTGGGCACTGCTTTTGCAGCTGTGCTGGTCCCTGAATCTACATGTGATTAGTCATGCCTGAGAGCCTCTGACACTGTGAAAGCTGTCTGGGCACTTTCTGAATAAACTTTGTACTGGAGCTCCAGGCCAACGATACCCACTTAGAGGAAGCAGGTGGTTTAATTTAAATTTTCATCGTTCCTTTTCATTCCATTTCTTCCTTCCCCCTTACAGAGTTGCATCAGGTCCTCAGACTGCAGCTTGGGTCATTTTATTAACAAGTCAGGCTCCAATCCCAGCAGCTGTATCATTTTAGTTGTGCAATTAACAGTATAATCTGCAGGAAATCAAATGCTCCCCATATTTAGTGTTTCAAGTGAATTAATTGATAAAATATTGCAGCTTTTCCATGTGCACCCAGATTTTGGCTATGGCTTTCATTAGCAATTAATGTGTAATTCCCACAGGTGAATTTTGAATTTAAAGAAAAGACCTTTTCTTTTGTTTGTGCATGTGTGTGCGTGTGCATGTGTGTGTGTATGTGTTCTGCAACTGTGAATTTGTAGTGGGCGTGGGTGTTTCCTGCCCTTGAAGTAATTAAATTTTTTGTCAACGAATTACATCAATGAAACCTGAGAATGAAATATGTATCCGGTGTTTCAATGGGCTCTAGCATTTGGATTGCCAGATCTGATCATTATCTTGGTCAAACAGGACTGGACTTTTTTTCTTTCCTAATTGCTAAGTTGTGCCTAACTCAAAATACAATTTTTGCATGTTACCAAGCTAGCCACCTTAGAAAGTAACCGGCAACTGATTTTGTCTGTTACGGAAGATGTTTTGCTGCTTTGGGAAGCATCATCTTCCTTCCTGCTTTAGACCTTATCCCTTCATTCAGTGAGATGCTTCTGAGGAAAGCAGTATTCAAATGTGATCTGATGAATGTCACCTTTTGTAATTTTTGTTTTGTGTCAAATGTATGTTTCAGGACTACTTCACAGACTTAATCACTAACGAGAGCATTAATTACTTCAAAATGTCTAAGAGAATGTATCCCCATAGGCCCATTATGATGGTGATCAGCCACGCTGCGCCCCACGGCCCCGAGGACTCGGCCCCACAGTTTTCAAAACTGTACCCCAATGCTTCCCAACACATGTGAGTAATAACGTAGGTTCTGGGACCTGCTGAACACGGGTCTTTCCTTTGCTCCCCACCTCCCTCCTCTCCCTCACCCCGTTTCCTTCCACGCCGTGTCTCCAGAGGCAGGTACACCAACGAGCTCTTGCCATGAGCCCACGGGGCAGGCTGGCCACGGGGCCTGGCATAAAGGACCTGGTCTAGTGGTGTGATTAGGAATCACATTTCCAGCCTTTGTAAGTAGCTAAGTGGAAAGGAAGAGAAGCACGTAGGGTGAATCGGGGAAATTTGTATCAGGCGTTCCCTTCTGTTGTCTTACATGATATTCCTGAGCATGATCTCATAAAAATAACGATCAAACGGTATACTCCTCAGAGCAGCAGAGTGGTGCCCCCTGGTCTGGTTGTAGAAACATGGGTCTGTCTTCTAGGCGGATACTGAGGGCAGCTTTGCTGCAGATGTGCAATTAGGATTGCTGCAGAAAGCAGCTTGCATGGGCTTGCCTGAGAGGCCTTCTCAGGTCACGGTTTTAAAATAACCTCATGTTTCTTTTTGAGAGGCGGGAGACTTGGTAAGGAGGGGAGGGGAGGCCCAGGGGAGGGGGCTGTTGGTGTGGGGAGACCAAGGCAGAGAGCAGAGAGCCCGGTTACGCCGATAACTCTCACTAGCCAAGAGTGGAAACGTCCGGATGCTTTGGCAGCAAAGAACAGGATTTTGTTTTTTACTCCATTGACTCGCTTCCTTCCCATCCTTTGCAATAACATGCAGCCTTCCTTACAGAGCAGTTGGCTCTGTGTCTGCGGAAGGATCGGCCATCAGACAGGTAGGGACCAGGGAATTGGTATGTTTCCTTCATCACTAAACCTCCAAAATTAGTTCTTAATCTGTTTATGCTTAAGTATCATCTCTTCTCACCCACACTGATTTCCCAGCCACAATCCCAGACAGAAAGAAAATAGAGTAAATGTATTTATGAGAAGAGAGACGTACCAAAGGCACTGTAGTTGCTGGTCATTACATATCTTATAAGGAAAGAACCTTTCCTTATATTCTTATTTTTTTATCTTATAACTAATAAGCTGATGGTTTTTGGCCAGTGGTATTCAGGTCATCTCTATCATATCGAGTGACTTAGACAGAAGGAAGGAGGTCAGAGCCAACTGAGGACAAGAACTAACAGTAAATATAAAACCAGGACAGATACCCTGCTGAACACGCCCAGTAGGATGGAAGGATGGAAGTGTCTCAGTACATAAACTATTGTCACCAAAGAAAGGAGGTTGCCCCAGCGCCTGGGGAATGTGGTCTGGGTGAGCCGCTGTGTTTTGGAAAGAACTCTGTGGATGGATATACAGGCCTCTGAAGGTCTACCTACATATAACCATGCAACTACAGTCATGAGCGAAGCCCACGAGTGGCGAGGGGCTCTCCATGGCAGATCACTTACAGATTTAGCAACCCGCTGGCTCAGTGAAAAAGAAAGGTCTTTGCAGGCTTCTTCCCTGCCCTGGGGCCCACCTTTCTCTTCCCTTCTGAATCAGAAAAATCCCTCTGTGTCGGTTCTCTTGTTGCATTGGCAGATGCTCCGCCCAAGGTGGCTTGCTACAACTGTAAACCTTGCTGGTGTTTTCCCGAGGTTGAGGAGAGGGGACTGACAAAATGTGGTGTTTTATGGCTCCTTAGAAATCAGCCTGCCTTTGAAGCTTCTGGGCAAGGTCCTGAGCCGACAGAAAAATCAGCCGCAGGTCAAGAGGTTCTGACAGCTCAGTGGCATGCACAGACAATTGTAGGAGGAGAGGAATCTGCAGACTTCTCAGGGACTTCATGATAACTAAACAGCAGTATCTCTGAGCCCAGCAATTAAAAATTCTATTTGATTCCACAAACATTTATGAGTGGTGCTATCCGGTACAGCCGGGACGAAAGGCATGAGGAAGACACAACTGCTCACAATCGGGAACCAGTGAGCAAAGACGGATGCGCATGCTGGGGCCAAATACAGCTTGCCGCCAACTTTTGTTAATAAAATTTTATTGAAATACAGCCATGTTCATTTCTTTATGTGTTATCCGTGGCTGCTTTCGCAATTCAACCGGAGAGTAGTTGTAGCAGATACAGTATGGCCCGCAATGCCCCAAATATTTGCTCTCTGATCCTTTACAGGATGAGTTTGCCCCCAACCCCTACTCTAGGGAGAGGATGGGCGAGTGTCCAAATAGCCATAGCACCAGTGGGAACAGAAGGCCTAAGTACTAGGGCAGGCCTTCAAGGGGCTATGGAAGTTTGGAGAAAGAGGCATTCACATCTTTTAGGGGAACACGGAAAAGTCATGCACCAGCAGACATTCAGAGTGGGCCTCAAAGAATGGGTACCATTTCTGCAGCTGATTCTACAGATTGGGTGGATGGTTTCAGGAAGAAAATGCAGCATGGACAAGTGGCCGCCACATTAAGTGAGGCGATCTGAGATGTGACCTAGGAGAATGGAGCGCGAGGAAGGCAATAAGGGATAAAGCTAGAAAGGGAAACTAGCGGAATTGTGAGGACTTGAATGAATTTGTATATCACTGTAAGCAGAGAGTCACCAGAGGTCATTTGGTGGGGTAGTAACATAATATATAACTCGGTCATTTTCACATGTGAATGGTTTCAGCTATTCCTTTTGAGCTCACGTGAACCACGTGTGTGCCTTACTAGTGACTCTATAAAACAAAATCTATGCATGGCAGAGTGAAAAGTATTTGGGCCTTTGAGACAAACAAGCATGGGTTCCTTTTTCATCTGTTCCACTAAGCCTCTGTGCAATTTTTTTAACCTCTAGGAACCTCCATTGTCTCATCTGTTAAATGGGGATAATGCTAGCACTTTGACATGGTGTCGTGAACAAAAATTAAGAGAGGAAGCATCGTTCAAGTCCCCACATAGGGCCTGGGACATAGAAGCCACTTCATAGATGCTGATTCCTAGTGATCTTTTCTATTGAGATGAACCATATGAAGCTGCTCTTTCTTGATTCCATCTTTCTTGACCCACAAAAAGTGCAGTTTCATTTGGCTCAACTTCATGTTGAGGGGAAGCAGCTGAAGAAATGACAAGTGGATACGTGTCCATTGTGATGTGACAAAGCTCTTGACAAGCTAAGACTCACATTGGGACAAGCCTCTCACAGCTGGCCATTCTAAAAACCCAGACAGGATAAGCACCGATCTGGGCTGTGGTATCTTTTCTAGGTGCAAAATGTGTGCTGCGAGCAAGTGCCAGTGAGGAGAACACCCTCAGCTCTAGAAAATGAAAATCCATGCGGTTGGTCCGGCGCTTCAGCTTCTATTCGCTGCTAAGCCTTGGGCTTTGGTGCCCCCAGGATGGAGAGAGCCGCTGTGTCTCCCGCGGGCCTTAGAAGGCCTGAGTTGTCCGTATCTTACTTGTCCCGGACTCCCTGGCTGTCGCTCGCTGTAGAAGGGGGCTGGCGAGCGCTTGTGTGCGGTTCTTGTCACTGTGAGTGACTGCACAGGTCCACAGTTCAGTCTGTGGACAAAAGGAGAGAGACAGATGAAGACAGGCGGCTAATTGTGGTGCACGGAGCTCCTGAATGGCCGGGTTCCTTAGCGAAAACATTAGCCACACATTCGAGCAAAGGGATATAGGAAGTTAAGTACTTTGCAGAAATGTTTGGCAAGCCCTCTGCAAACAGTGAGAGGCTATAGACTCTCCCTGTTTTGAGAAGCAAGTAATGTGAACACGTTCCTTGAGGTCGCCTTCTTTGGTAGTCACGCAGTATCCGGATGCCTTTCGTGTGGCCTCAGGTGGTAGTCATCTAGCCCTCTCCAACTGGAGCGAACACATCGTGTTTCCACGGCGTTTTCCATTCCCAACAAAGGAAGAAAGCCAGGCCAACATTGGCTTGCTGGCTTTATACACGAGGCTGGAGGTTTTGCCAAGCAACTAAGAATGGGGACGGATATGGACCCCTCGTGACTATTTGGCACTGTTTAATCAGAAGCAGCTCGGCTGTTCTCGGCCTCAGCAATATCTGAGGGAACCTCCATCATAACATCACACATAATAATCCTTATCGTAAAGCTCTTCCTTATGGTGAAGACCCTACTGTGCTTTTCAGTAAATTACCTCCCAGGATCCTCATGGTACTCCTGTAACCCTCACTCCCGCAATGACATAGCTTTTCTCTCCTGGCCACCACGATGACATAACGTGCAGTAGTGACAGGAAAGGAGATTCCATTTACCTACCCGATGATTCTGGGGGAAGCTGAGAGACTCCCCCATCACCTTCCTACCAACCGTCCCCCTATCAACTGAGAATTTTGTTGTTGTTCCAGTTCATCAGTTCTTTCTCCCCATCCCTGGAAATGTGTGTGAACACACAAACACGGTTCAAGTGAAATCTAAAATCTTGGTAGAACAATCCAGGTCCACTAACTTGCGAGAATCCGTCTAAAAGTGCAGTTTGGGGATGAGGTAGTACGTTAAAGGGACAACTACCTCTGCGTAAGCCTCAGAACAAAGTTTTTAAAACACCTTTGTTGTCCGAAGTTGGAAAGAAATGTTTTTCCTTAGAAGAATTTGCACATTCTCACTTCATTTCTTCCACAGATCCATAAAAGAAAGTGCTTTTGAAAATGAGAGAATTTTAAAATCTCCATAAAAATCTTTAATTTGGGCAGAACTCATTGCTCCTTTCCTGTGTTCCCACTTTGTTCTTCTATCATTGACCTGCATATCCCATGGCACTGGCTGTTTACCCAGACCCTTGAAGTCAAACTGCACACCTCCAGGGGGCAGCATTTACACAAGATACTGTGTGAATGGGGCCCTGGAGTTAGGCAAGATAGCTTTTTCCAGAAGGCAGGGCCAAGTGTTACATCTCTGCCTCCGGTGCCTGGGGAGCATGGCTCCTGCCCTATCCCTTGCCAGATACTTTTTTGTTTAGCAAATGAATAAGCGTGTTAACCCCACCACCCAGGTGACATTAAAACATATTTTGATGGCATAAAAATATTTA